TTGGTTCCTCTGAAGGCAGCACGTTCTGTTGAGGTCTGTGGTCATCTCTTCTGTGCGTACCGTAGCAAATCACCCTTTCAGAGGCTGTGTTCAAATCAATTATAAGAGTTAATCGCTTTTCAGTTTAATGTGCAGCTTCTCCCAAAGGAAACTCGGGAATAGGTATAAAATGACATACGTGAACTCCAGAGAGCAGAGAAGATTGTGGGAGGAGATCTTCAAAAATGAGGCCATCCCCTTGAGGAAAAAAAAAAAACCACCTGTGTCTTCCTGGAGAATGAATCTATAAGCAGAAGAGTTCACAGAGAACACAAATGGAAACTCCATGTAAAGTTTAAGCAAAGGTCAAATATAGCAAGCTCTCCTTTGGAGCAGAGTGGAGTTCATGGGCTGAATGAGAAGCGGCAGCAGCAGGTATTCAACAGTGTCTAATGCACTCTTTTCTCTTCCAAGGGGAAGTTGATTAGCGCTTTTTTTTTTTAAATCTTCTAGAAAATTACCTTTAAAATGCTCTTACTCTTAAAAGTGATGCTCAGATTGGCACTGAGGATCACACGTGTGCTGCTTTCCAATCTTTCCCCACCAGGATTTGCTTGCTGATGTGCAAGGCGAGAGGTTTTTGCCCCGTGTGGCTACCCTGCCTCATGCCTGGGCAGTGGAGCAGGTTCAATTGGTGGCCCCAGCACTGCAAGCGATGCCATCCTGTTGTGGCCGGGCTGGGGGTGCCCACGGGGACTTTGCTCTCCACCGGCTGCACCGAACCTGTGATGCTTTGCACAGAACCTGGTACTGTGGTCACTACCCTTTTGTTAACATAATTTAACCTTATCCCAGTGGTCCCAGTTTCCATTGTCTTGCAGGCACCCACGTGGACTAATCTCATGCTCTACACCCTTGCAGTCGACCCGGCTGGAAGTAGCTGTGGTGGCGGATCTGGTCCCTGGCTGCTCACGGTGCATCATTTCCATGCAGCCACAAACAGGTTCCCAGCAGTCCTCCAGCACCTCTTACCCTAAATTAATGGGGAAGCGTTAAAGCAGGCTGATAGTGCTACTCCATTAGCTTTGTCCCTGTGCTCCTCTCAAATCAATGTTCCCTCTAAAGCGGAGCTATTACGTGGCGTGCGGCTCCTGGGGCATCAGGAGCCAGCTGCTTTCCCATCCGGCGTGGGGACCATTAGCAGCCGGTGGGTCCTGAGGAGCTGTGGGGTCCCCCGGGAGCTCTGCCTGACCGGCGGGCACGGGCTTGCCCTGTGGCTGGAATAAAGAAATGGGGCGGTGGGTAGTGGTTGGCAGGAGGCAAAGCGTTCCCCTTGTGGCCCTGGGTCACGCTTGCATGGTGGAGGCTAATGAAATCAGGTAATTAGTGAGTTTGTGAATAAGCTGGGGCAGGGAAGTTTAGCTTCGGCTGTTAAAGTATCAGTGGCTTTGGGGGACTGTAAAAGTTCAGGGCTTTGGGAAGGTTTTGTTTGCCTTGTGTTCCCTCGTGGCAGTTTTTTGGTGGACTGGCAGATTCTCTTAAAAACAAACAAAACCCCAACCCCCATTGTCTAAAAACCACACTGCCATTTGATTTACTTATTCATTTTTTGTGGCATGGTGTTTCAAGCTGCTGCCTGTTCTGGGACTGTGTGTGAGACATGAAATAAGACACTGCACGGCTCTTGCACTGAATATACTTTAGATAAGGACTCGTGTATATTTACGATCCTGCTGATAGCATGCAGAGCCCGAGGAGAAGAGCCAGAGGTTCCATTCTGTTGATTTGGTTTGAATTTCACATTTATAGTTGTGTGGCGGGAGGCAACCACGTATTACCACTGTCGCTCAATGCTAGCTTAGCATGTGCGATTAGATATGCCGCCTTCCTTTTGGTTTCACTCTTGCAGGCATCCCACCTTGCCAGGGATCTGGCTGCCCTTGCTCTGCTGCTTCTGCCAAAGCCAGCGATGCCTGGAGAGCTGAAGCATCTCACTTTTTTTTCCCCCCAAGGTCTGAGGCTTGTGTTGTCCCTTCTCTGACTGCCCTACAGTGGCATTTTTCTGGACTTTTTAAAATTTGGAGCTCGCTTTAAAATAGCGGTGATTAGGAAGAGACTGGAAAACTGGGTTCATGTGTTCCTGAGCTTGCAGTGGGGACTCAAAAAGGAGGAAAGATTGAAACAGGATTTCTGAGCTGTTGTCCTAGGACTGCTTGTGGCCTAGCAGACTTTGGCAGATGGTTTGTGAAATCCTTCCCTTCCCCCAAAAGCGCACGCGATGCCGCCCCTGCAAATGAGCAGGCAATCTGTTACTTCTGCATTCTCTCACTTTAAATAAAGTTCAAATCTCAGCTGGGTTTTTGTTTGACTAAAATGTGACAATCATTTCACTGTGACTTTGCAAGATGGGCTGCAGGGTTTTTTTTTTCCTGAAAAGGTTAATCAGTCCTTGAATAAATAAGTAAGTAAAAACTTGGATGCACTGCTCAGACTTTCCAGCTTCTATCCATGAAGATTTCACCTGCTGTCCCATGTCGGGGCTAGCACGATCCTGTTTGTGGTTCCATCCCTTGCAGGAGCCCGTGGTACCCAGATACCGAGCGGGGCTGCAAGGATGTGGCTGGGATGCAGCTCCCATGCAGGAGCTGGGAGCAGAGGGGCTGCAATACCTTTGGTGCCGGGTGGGAGATGAGGCAGCCCTGGTCCGCCCGGCTGCTTTGCTGTTTGAAGTGCCATTGTTCGTGCTGTCGCTCGGGCCCTCCCCTCATATTCAGCATGTCTCAGCATCCTTGGGGAAAAAAGCCTTGATCCTGGACTTGCTCTTCTCTCAGGGTTCAATAGGCTTCGCCAGCTGAAAGGCAGGCTTTGGAAAGGAAAGGGGAGGCTTTTCACAGACCTGGGGAGAATCAAAGGGAGTCATCACAAGCGGCAGCTTAAAATATCCAACCTTTTCCTTCTTCTCTCCCCCGCTTTATGTGCCCGTGCAGAGCGTAGATGCAGCGATGCTGCATTTGTGGCATCGCTTGTTATGTGCCCTCCGTCCTGTTGCGTTTGCATACCTTGTGTTTCCCTGGGGCAGTTTCGTGGCAGGTCTCATCTCTGACCTCCCCACGGGCTCAGAGGGCACCTTTGGGGTGTGAGGTCTGCAAACCCCCGTGCATCCTTGTGCTCTCCTGCCAGTCTGCCTGTTGCAGGGACAGTGGCACCAGCCAGCACAGAGAGAGCATGGGACGTGCAGACCCATTTTGCAGCGGTAGGGTCTCGGGTGTCCCAAATGCCCTTGTCTGGGTCTCCTGCTGCCCTGTGGTTTCCTTCTAGCCCTGGCTGCCTGCATTGGGGGATTACCTGAGAATTTTATGGGAGAGCAATGGGTGCTGAAGGAAAACCGAAAAGGCAAAGAAAATAGCCTAAAACATGGTGTTTGTTTTTCTTACTCCCTTCCTCCCTCTGTTTTTTAAGCCTGCCACATTATTTAGGGAGGGCAGTAGGGCTGATACATTCTTCTGCAAGACTTAGGTTTGGCAAGGGAGAGAGGAAACACAGCCAAGGGAGGGCAACGGAGACAAAAAATGGGTAAGATGCTGCAGAAACTGCTCCCCAGGCAGCTGCAGGAGGAGCCGCTTTGGCAGAGGCAGCCGCAGGTACAGAAGGGACGGGTGGCAGCATCTCTTCCCACCGCGCTGTGAACCAGAAATGGCAGTGCCTGGCTCCCCGGAGGTTTCTCTTTTACTCTTCATTGTATGGCAGCCTGAGCAAACAAACTGTGCTGCTCTTGATAATGAAGGAGGTGACATTACTAATTTATTTGCCCACCCAAATGCAGGATGTAATAGAACAGAATAAATCTCTTCTCTTTACGCATCAGATGCTTGTAGCTTTGGGCAGCGAGTGTGTGCTTTTAGCTGCTGGTGTGTGGCTAACTCGGAGTTTAGCTGGCTGTCTTGGTTCATGTGCCATGAGGATAAATGAGGTGCTGCGAGGAACCATTTTATGGGTACATGGCTGGTCCTGAGCCTGGATGCAGGTGGTGGGATGAGGCTCAAGGAAAGAGGGGTTGGTGTTAGCTGCAGTGCCTTTGTGGTCCTGGCAATCAGCTGAGCCCCCTTCACAACCCAGCATGGACAAGTCCTGCAGAATAGCACGGGATGGTTCAAAAAGCGTTTCCCAGCGGCATCGGTGCCTCAGGGGAACAGTTGTCCCTCGGTGGTCTCCCAGAGAAGGAGATGGCTGCAAATCCATCCACAGCATGGACTGCAACAGTGGCCACAGCCCTGCTGGCTGAGTCTCAGGGCATTGGCTGTGGGGGAGAGCTTTAATGAGGCATTTTGGATTCCTTCCCTTACTGCTGCAGCTGGTTACTGAATCATCTGTGTGCTAATGAGCTAATTTGTGTCATTAACAGAGCCCTGTTAATCAAGACCTCCCATGGTATGACTGGGCTGTAGCCATAATGCTTGCTTTATTTTAGGCCTTGATTTTTTTAATTAGTAATGAAGTGTATGATGCTCATCTCCGGGCACCTGCAGCGCAGGCCATGCGGATGCTGAGCTGCCTCGAGATGCAGAACTGGCATCTCAGGATTTACCTTTGGAGGGGAGGTGTTACCTAAAAGCCTGGCTAGAGCAGTGGAGCCTAGTGTCCTGAGATGCTGCGGCTTTCAGCGAGGAAGGAGTGTGGAACATCTTGAGTCCCCTCCTACCAACATGAGTTTAACCCGGCACAGGGAGCTCTGCCGGTCATGCCTGCAGCTCAGGGGTTTTGGCAATCATGGGCACTTTGATGCCCAAAAATCTTGCCTGAAGTTTCCTGCCTTCCATCCCACAGGGGATATTCGTACAAGAGTGGGGTTGCATCCCTAGGGGAGCAGTTTGCTTTCAGGCACTTGCGTGAGCTATGGGAGAGATGGAGTTGATGGGATGACTAACCAGCTCATGTGCAGGGGCCAGTGTGCTTCTCGGCTATTTTCCTGCAATATTTCTGGTCCCGACACTTCCTCATGCTGCTGTGTTTGTGTTTTCCAGATCGGCCGGTTGTGCGGCCACGCTCAGCAGAGGCAGTATCGATCAGCTAATTACCCCGAAGACCTTTTCATTGACAAGAAAGTCCTGAAGATGACTCACATCGAGCAAGAAGAAACTTTGTTGAGCAGGAGGAGGTGAGAATGCTCGGGCTGAGTGTGGTGCCTGTGGGATGGGCTGCAGGAGCAGTCGCCATACGGGATGGCCCCGTGGAAGCGGATGGAAGAGCTCCTTACTTCCCTTACCCATAAACCTGCAGCTGGTTTTGACTCTGAACATCAGAGCTGCTCTATGGCTGGCTCTGAAGTGCAGCGAGGTGTCTACATGTGTTTTCTCACCTAGTGCATCTATTTTTTTTTTTAACCTGTAAAACTGCCTCCTGCTTTTCATGTTTGTTTTGCTTTTTTGCAATGCACCAGGCACCCAGGTTCCAAATACCTTGTCTGGGTTTCTCGGGCACTGCTATAGTGCCAGAAATACTCACGGGTGTAGTTATAGGTGGAAATGGTTGCTCTAGCCTGAAGCGTTGCCTGTAACACTGTGTGTAGGTAAGGGGGACTCATTTCACTTTTTTTTGTGCAGTCTTTTACGGCAGTTCAGGAATGTTAACAGCCTTTTACTGAATATTTTCAAAGTGAAGCAGGTGCCTCCGCTGCTGGCACTTGCAGCCTGTGCTTCCTTCCCTCTGTAAATAGAGGCTGTAATTCAGTGGGCTCGTGCTGGTGTGTCAGGGAGAAGCATCTCCCCTCTGGATCTGAAAGCGCACCCAGAGATGTGTGGTGCCTTTACTGCTGTCTTGAATACAAGAAATATACCTGCGGAAGAGAAACAGGCAAGCTTGGCAATTTTTGGAACTGGGGATAGACTAAGTTGGATGGATTTCTCTTTAAAGAGTAACAGGGCCACATTCTTGATACAGTTCCCATGAGATACAGCACCAGGGCTTGCATTCCTCCGTTGTCTCAACATGTTGGAGGGTTACACAGCCCAGGCTCTGCCAGAGATGTCCTTTGAGGACTGTGAAGTCTAATGAAATCTGCTGTGATGAATTACGTGAGCTCATACCTGCAGATACGGAGGAGTTTCTCTCTTCCCCTCCCTGCCTGGCAGGGAGCTCTGCTCCCCAGGAAAGTTTTCTTCCATCCGTTCTCCCTAGCGCTGCTGGGGTCTGCAGGACAAGGAGCAAGGCAGTGCCTAGGATGTAAGGAGCTGAGCACGATGGGCAGCATAAGGCTTGTCCTACTCAGGGTTTGGTGTAACTGAAGACCCAGGTCTTGCCTCATTTTGCCTTTCAAAATGGTCTTGGTTGGACCTCCTGCCCCACCGTAAGCCCAGTGCAGGAGATGGCCGTAGGAGGTGGTTCATGCAGGAGGAGGAATGAAGCACCCCTCTAATTTGTGTAGGGGGGTTGTGGGCTGAACTCCCACCCTTTGGAGGGGCTTTGACTCCTCAGGCAAACCCTTGTTTATTGGCATGGACAATGATAGACGGGTTGGTGCTTGCGATACCCCTTCAGGCTGCGTTGCAGTGACCCGAGGGAGGACTTGGGTGACCCTTTGCCTCCATCAGCTGCCGGCTCTGCCTGCATGGGCTGTGTCAGTCCGATCAGGGCAGAAACAGGCTCCTCGTTAGTAAAAAGGCAGAGCAGAGCAGCGTGGGCTGCCTTCGCTGGCACTGGGGCGTCTTCTCCTTGTTTCGCCTGCCCCCAGCTGGCAGTCGGGGGCTTTGTCTGGAGAGGGAACCCCGCAAAATCCCCAAGCAAAGAGAAGCAAAGAGGGATGGAGGGAGCTGGGGACCCCCTCTGCACCCCAGCCTGCCTAAGCTTGCTCTGTCTGACAGCCTGGCCCTGCTGGGCAGCTCCCCAGAGCTAGTGGGGAGTGGAGGTGCCACCGAGGTCCCACCGCTGCAGGCACTAAGGGGATGTCCCCAGAAGTGCTCCCAGCTCGAGGTGCCGATCCCTCGTCATCCCTCCCGGGGAGGAAGGAGGCCAAGAAATAACCCCTTGCCAAAGGGGGAAATGCACTGAACCAAAGCCAGGAGACCATGAGTCCAAGTCTTACTTCCTCCTTCATATTATCATGCTCTTTGTGCCATTTAGCTAGTTAAATCTGCCGGTGTTTCCTGGTGACAGCTGCTGAGTGCCACCGGAGGGGCTGACCTGGGCTGGGGGGGACGGGCACATCCCGCTCCCGCAGGCCCTGTCCCCTTTCTGGTGGCTGTCAGCATCCCTGGGGTCAGCTTGTGTCCTGGCACCTCTGGACCGCTGCCAAAGGGGGCCTGCTGGGGACGAAGGTCCTTGGTGCTGGGAAGGGAGGGTGCAGGGTGGGTGTGCAGCCGGGTTCGCATTCCCTCTGCCCAGCGCAAGCGCTGCTCCTGAGGCTCCTCCTGCCTTCCCAGGGCAGAGCCATTTTGCTGAGTGTAACCTGCCCCTTTGAATGCAGACTGTGACCCCACGGCCAGCCCAGCGTACACCTTGAAATTGTGTATTTTCAACAGTGCAGCATGAAGCCCAGCGTTACCCATCTGTACAGGTCTGTGTTGAGAGTGTCTGCTCTGGTCTGCCACCAAAAATACCACCTGCCCTTGCAGGGGTGTTGGATGGCCGATGTCAGGCAGACAAAGTGACAAGGCTCTCCTTTCTTGAAGGGCCTCCATTGCCTTCTGCAAAGCAGAGGGGACTGCTGGCAGCCTGAGCACTTGCTGCTCAGATGCACCCCATGTATGCGTGGCCTGAGCCAGCAGCACCTTTCCTGAGGTGCTGTGAGAACACAGAGAGCGTGTCTGGCTTTGGTGTGCTGCATGGTTGGGCTGAGGTTCTGCTGCCCCAGCATCCCTCCTGTCACCGGTGGTATTGCCCTAAGAAACACGGATTCAGCCCTTGACTGAATAACATCAGGGGACAATGTAAAATGCTAGTTGAGGTCAGAAATAAGACCAATACTTCATGGTTTGTTTGCACCCAGCTGCTTTCTTGTATTTGTGTGACTACCTTCACTGGTTAAAATGCACCAACGCCATCTTCTTTTCCTCTTTTAATTGAGCACCATTTTTTTTTTTCCCCCCTTTCTTCCAGGGAGCTCATTACGAAGCTGAAGTCCCACAGCAGTTTTTACAGCAGCTTGCCAGAGTACATCTGTAAACACAGCTCTGCTGTTCAGAACGACACTCTTTGCTGGAATGGACAAGAAGTCATGGAAAGGTGAATCACATCTCCCTTCCTCTCCCCAGCACTGCTTATCTTTTGTTAACCAGGCGCAGGAGTGGTCTGTGGCCGGGACGCTGCTCGTTCCCTTAAGAAACGTTTTACAGAGCCGGTGTCCACCCGTGCTGCAGCTCAGATGGATGTGCAAAGTCTGCACGGAGAGGAGAAGTGGTTGTGTGCTGCCCTCCACTGAGTTTTCTGTACTCTGCTGTGAAAACCCTGCAGCCATGGCTGGTTTCAGTCGGGGTGGGTTGGTAGTGGGCGAGTCAAGAGAGGAGAGCAGCAGCAGCTCAGCGCAGCCGTGCTCCCATGGGAGCGTGCACCATGGTGCCAGGGGTAGCTCCTCCGGAGTAGCAATGGGGGCAATTGCCACCACGCACTGCGTTGGGGTGGGGATATCTCCAACCTGGCTCTGTGCAGTGGCAGCGGGACAGCATGGCTGGCACCCCCTGCCCCATTGAAGGAGTGACAAGGAAGACCACCATGTTGGGTTTCTCCTTGGCTGTGGCTCTGTGCTGGAGGAGGTCAGGACCACTGAGCTCTGGTGGTGCCACTGCTGCCATCTGACCATCTTCCTGCAACCGAGCTCTTGGCTGTCCTCTCTGGATGGAGCCATTCACACCAGGGTCCAGCTTGTGCCCTGGCTGCTTTTCCCTGCCCCACTCACCGGTTCTGAGGATGTCCTGGCAGTAACTATGAGGTTAATGAAGATGGTCAAATACAGGATTAATAGCGTAAAGGGGAAGGAAGTGTTAATAGAAATGGAGGTACTTTCTTGCAAAAAATGCCCCTCAGGAATGTTAAAGAATGTGGAAATAGAACTTGGAAATGTTTTTTTATAATTATACTCCTCTAATCACCCTACTTCCTACTT